ACACCATTGAACTCCAGCCTGGGCAACAGAGTGAGACCCTGTCTCAATATATATGTATATATATGGCCGGGTGCAGTGGTTCACGCCTGTAATCCTGGCACTTTGGGAGGCCAAGGCGGGTGGGTCATGAGGTCAGGAGTTCGAGACCATCCAGGCCAACATGGTGAAACCCCATCTCTACTAAAAAATATAAAAATATTAGCTGGGCATGGTGACGCGCACCTGTAGTCCCAGCTACTCAGGAGGCTGAGACAGGGCAATCACTTGAACTCGGGAGGCGGAGGTTGCAGTGAGCTGAGATCGCACCACTGCACTCCAGCCTGGCAACAGAGCAACACCCCGTCTCTAAAATAAAATAAAATTGCTCTGTAAGTTGACACCACTAAAAATATCATTAGTGGTTATAATAATTAAGATAAAGGAGAAAACTGTACAGAGCCCAGCACAGTACCCGCTCCATGGAAAATCCTGATGACATTTAGCTTCCCTCTCTTTGCCCCCATTTTCTTACCTGTAAAACAGGAATAATGCTGTATCCTAATTCAAAAGTTGATTATGGAGAGTGGCATAGTATTTTCTCAACAAATATTTATTGAGAAACTGCAACATGCAAACAGATGTAAAAGATTAAACAAAACTTTGCAAATTGAAAATCCTAAAGGACATTTCAGACTTTGTGAACTTCCTAATAGGTAAGACTTTTTATCTATCTGCAGTGTCCAACAGGCGCAAGAGTTTGGGTGGACTGTGAATATCTAAGAAAAGAGAGAGGAAAGGAGGGAGGAAGAGGAAAGAAGGAAGGGAGGAAGAAGGGAGGGAGGGAGCCAGGGAGGCGGGGGGAGGGAGAAGGGGAGGAAGGGAGGGAAGGAAGGGAGGAAGGAAGGAGAGGAGAGGAGAGAGAGGAAGGAAAGGAAAGGAAAGGAAAGGAAAGGAAAGGAAAGGAAAGGAAAGGAAAGGAAAGGAAAGGAAAGGAAAGGATTACAGGTGGGAGGGAGGGAGGAAGAGAGATATCATTATTATTGTGCAATTGTTATCTTTATATAATTTAAACAAACCCATCCTGTGCCTACAAAAGGGCACCAAGATAAAGGCTAAGATAAAGAACACACGAATCATTTTCCCATTTTGGTCAGTGATGGGAATGGTAATGATTTTCTCTCTGAACCATAACCATCTTGCGGTTAAATAATTGCTTTCTGATAGAATCAGGAGCTCTGAGATGGTGCTCTGAGGAGTTCTTTCGTCTCTTTTGCACCTTTTAAAGAAAAGAAAACTTCAAGTGCAATTATTGGCATTATTTTAATACCAACTGCAGCAGAACATTCTGGAAAATGAGGCCCCTATCAAATTAGTTTGTCCAAATGAGGTTTAGACAGTACCTTACGAGGAGAACCGGTCAGAAAGCCCCCGTGGCTGCAGCAAGCCCTGTTGAGTCAAGGGCACATGGATGTCGTACTGCACATGTGTTTTCAGATAACTAAGTGAACTGCTCCGATCTTGTGGGACATTGCACCACGGGGCCTCTCCATTTACTTCAGGTTACACAGCAACAAGCAAGCTGAGAGCAGCAGAAGTAGCTAGCTAAAATTGCATTTGATTTTGTGACTGCTAGAGGCTGATACTCAAGTGAAGTTTAAGCAAAAACAAATCATACTCAGCTGAAAACATTTACCTGGAAGAAAGATTTGTGGCTGGAGAATTGAAGTTCATGCACCCAGCAATTTCCAGAGGAAGTCTGATTCCCCTACCTGAAATAATACTCCTTCCTCTCCCCAGATCCAGATCTCCAGACTGTACCTACTCAATAATGTGACTTGTCCGTAGGGCCCAGCTGATCATTATTGCCTCGAGCTTATGGTTAATAATAATAGTAATAATTATACTAATATCATTATTCTTTCTACACATAATTACTAATTCATCTTAATCTCACAACTCTATGAAGTACACACTGTGAATATCTCTGTTTTAGAGGTGAGAAAACTTAAGCCCAGGGAAGTTAAGTAACTCACCATAGTCACAGAGCTAAGTAGGAGGCAGAGTTAACAGTCAATATAGGCTTCTGACCCAGAGAGTGTGCTCTGGACGTCTGTGCCACACTGCCATTCACTGGGTATCAGGGACTGTGCTGAGCAGTTTATGGCATCATCTCATTTTGTTATTGTAACAAGTCTGTGCTATGGATATCAATATTATCCCCAGGTAAGGAAACTGGCTCCAAAAGCTTGAGTGACTTATAGTGGTCACACATCTAGTAAGTGGTAGAGCTAAAATTCAAACCCAGAGCTAAAATTGTTTGTCAAAAACTTGGCATTTGTGAGTGTGACCATCTTGGTTTCCAAGACCCCGGGAGACCTTGCAGACTACGGCCAGTATTCATTTGCCAAGATGCAAGGACCTAAATTGGAATCCAGTCTTTTATGATGTCTGGATCATACCAAACGTCAGGTATCTGGTCCATGAGGTCAGCTAATCCTCCCCGATCCCACGCCCCACACCCCCAACACACGTCATCCTCACCCAGAGAAACCTTTTCACAAATCATCAAACCTTTGTTTCTTTAAGGCAAATGGACCTGAGGGGGAAAAAAGTGCCTGTCAGTATTGATAAGGAATTGAAGAGGACCAACAACGTGAAGATTCTTGGCCAAAAAAAAAAAAAAAATAGTAATTTGGGACAAATTTAGTAAGAGAAATATCAAAATCTATGCAGGCTCACATCTCCAATACAAACATATTCACCTTACACTCTATATGGAAATAGTAAAAAGCAATTTGTGAAGTAGATTCCATGAGTGCTCCAATTAGGGCAAACATTTCCCATCAAATGAAGGATGGAACGTCAATAAAGATTTCAAAGCTGGTTACATGTAGAGAGATTTGTGCAGAAACCTTGTGGCTCTGATGGAATTAGGATGTGAGAAGAATGCAGGTTTTCTTTTCTTTCTTTCTTTTTTTTTTTTTTTTTTTTTTTTTTTTTTGACATGGAGTCTCGCTCTGTCACCCAGGCTGGAGTGCAGTGGCGGGATCTTGGCTCACTGCAAGCTCTGAGAAGGTAGGTTTTCTAATAAACAATTCATGTATCTTTCACAAATGCCAAATCACAGACTCAGCTTGGGACATATGAGGACAGCACAGACTTTGGAGGCAGGTAGACTTTGGGTTGTTACTCAGACACCCACTACTATGAGACCTGGATTTCCTTCTGACATTATTGGGAATAAGAAGTGGCACCTCACCATTTCTAGGAAATAGTAGGTAAGTCTTTCTGGTTGCCACCGAGGTGGCTCACCTGAGACACAGGTGCTCCTAAAGTTCAAGACTGGGAGACAATCAGAAGGGGAATTGTCTGTGAAGTCAGAATTCTTGGAAGAATTTAAGTCTTTACACAGTAACAGCAAAGCAGAAAGTGGGAACCACTATTCCTCCTTCTTGTATCATTCTTTCCCAGAAATACCAGAAAGCAGTAAGGCATTAAGTCTAATTCCTGGCACCTGACCTTATAGCTAACAGATGCTCAGTATTACCTGTTGATGGGACCTCACTGGCAATGTTTTGTATGCAGTACAAAAGGGCAATAGATGAAAATTTGGGACGAGAGCCCAGGAAAATGGCTGAGAGGAGAGCTTCTGCCTAGCTTATGCATGAGCTTGCAAAAAGGGAGAATACACAGGAGGGAAGATCAAGAACAGCATGAGTTTTATAAGGCAGAGAGTTGTTGTAAAGGAAGCAGTAGGGAGAGGGGAAGGAGTAAGTAGAAACCTAGAAGAGATACAGCTAAGAGAAGCCAAGAGAACAAAGTATTGACTTATCAGAAACATAGACATCTTCCTGCTTCTAATTTAGTTCCGCATATCTGGATATGTGAATGCCAAAAATTATTACACTTGCTAGGGGTCCAGAGGAGAGGAAACAAAGTAAGTCAGGAAAACCTCTGGGCAGGTGAATTTCTCAGGTTTTCTTTGGGGCAGATGGGATCTGGAATGGTAGCGTGGCATCCTGATAATTCAGAGACAGTGGGGAGGGTGAAGAAACACTGATTTGTAGCATTTGCTAATTTCTGTGGTGGCAACACCCTACCATGGCTGATTTCAAGCTAACAAAGATTTAACAACTGCCTTGCTGATTTCCTGAAAATTTAACAATTAGCTTTCACAAGCTGCAGCAGGCTGACCCCAGGGCATCACTGCCTACACATCAATGAGAATGAAGATTGACACAAAGAACAGAGCTGAGAGACACAGAGCAGGGAAGGCAAGATTTTCCCGAGTCTCAATCCAATATGTAGACTATGTCTCCCTTTTCCCAAAGAAGGAAGGGGAGGAGAGGCCAGCATTCACATTTAGTTATTGTTGTTTTGAATCCATTACGCACATGCATAGGAGAAAATTTCAGCAACAGTCACCCTCTGAACGCAGTTCCTCAGTTCTCTCCAGAGGCAACTAAAATGCTCAATTATTAGTGTATTCTTTTGGAAATATTTTATGGATACGACAGTGTGTGTGTGTGTGCGTGTGTGTGTGTGTGTGTTCCTTTCCAATATTAAAATGGTAACATTAACATTGGTAATAGTGCTACTAAACAACTTAGGTGGTTTTTTTTTTTCATTTAATAGTATATTTTTAGTATCTTTCCAGGGAAAGATACATGGATGTGCCATATTATTTTTAATGGCTTATATGGTACTCCTTTTATATATGCACTATAATTTATGGAACCAGTTTTCTCACTGATGAGCATGTAAGTTCTTTCAGTCTTTTACTGTTATAAACGAATGATGCAATGAATATCTGTGTACATATATATTTGTGCACATATGTAGGTATCCTTACAAGTGGAATTTCTGAATAAACGGATATATACAATTGATTTATGAATTTACCTTCCTGCCAATGATTCAAAAGAGTGTCTTTGCTCCACAGTGTTGCCAATATAATGTATTCTCAAAATCTGACACCAGCATTTGTGAAGTGCCTACTTTGTTTCCACACTTTACACAAGTTCTCTTATTTGTGGTAAGTTTATTTAAGAAGAGGAAACTGGGCCTCACGGAGATCCAGGAACTTGCCCAAGGACGGGTCTCTGTGACTCTGAGAGTGCAATCTTCCCTTTTCCCCACATCAAGCACCTTTCCCCCAAGGCTCACTGCTGACAATCCAGTGTAGGAAGAAGGGAAAGTTCCCCCATAGAGCCCAAAAGTTTAGGGCATGCCGACAGCACCACTCTTTTTCTTCCTCATTCTTTCTTTCATTTCCAGAACATTTGCTCACTCAGTGCTGCCCAGTGATGACTTAGCCAGCCTGACTACCCATCCAATAATTTCTGATACTAATATAAAACCTCCCCAAAGACAAATATAATTGTAGACGCACTCCAGTTTACCATAGCTTTCCTGGTGGTACAGTTTCCAGGGACAGTTCACTGTGTCAAAGCAGGGACCATATATGTTCCAGATCAGCTTGTCAGGTTTTTCACTGGCAAATTGTTGTCCCTTTGAAAAAGTATCTTTCATCTCTCCATCTATCTGTGATCTAAAGCAGTGGGGCTCTTTCTGTATGTCTTTGAAATGGTCTACACTGACACACGTTTTCTCTGAGCTGCCAAGAGAATATGCCGTGAGACGTTGCCGTGATGGTTACAGTCAGCTAGCAGATTAGGGACTGGTTAAGCCGTTGGAGAAATTGCCTTGGGAAAAGAGGAAATAAAAGCAAATATTACTATGAAACATAGAGATTACCAGCTAGGAGGAGGAGAGAGGTGGAGGGAGGGGGAGGAGTGGAAGGAAGGGAGGGAGGGAGAAAGAGGAAGGGAGACTGGTGGAAAAGAAACCGAGCACTTTAGGAGAACAGCGGGAAGGGAGGCTTGGAAGCCTGGTTTTCCGGCTTTGAATGACCGCCTAGCGCTTGCCGGTGCGCCAGGGTGCTGTGAGGATGTGGGCAGAGGGCGAGTCCGAAGGACTCCAGACACTGGGAATAGTGGTGGTCGTGTGCTCCTCCCTGAAACTTTTGCACTACCTCGGGCTGATTGACTTGTCAGACGGTAAGCGAACCCTGGAGTTTCCCCGTTTTCTGTGAATGCTTTTTTCCGGCTTCGGTTGCTGTGAGAGTCGTTTCGAAAATGCACGGAAATGAGGGCGGAGACCCGAGAGATTTGAAAAAGCCGGGCTGAAACAGCGTGGTATTGGTCCCCGCCTCCCCCGTCGAGCCCCAGTGCTGCGCTGTCCGTCGTGCTGAAATGTGGCGCGCCAGGGGAGTGCGGGAGTCAGGGACTTAGGGTCTCCTGCTCCGGCCCTATGCGCATGTGAGTCTTGATGGATCATTAGCTATGGGTGAGGCCAGCACAACACATCACAATTCTCTCTGAAGCTGTCTGGTGACTATGTATATTGTGATGGAAGCCAATGACTTTTAAAAGCCATTATGTTGATGAACTTTTTAAAAGAAGTTTAGGAGATTATATGGAGGTAAAAACCTTGTAAAATGCTAATCACAGTGTCTGACAATTAGAACACATTTAATAAATGTCGGTTTCTTTCCTCAACCCTTATAAGAACCCTTATTCCAAAGCCACCTCCTCAGCTCTGACTTCAGCTCCCTTTCTTAGTGAGAATGGGGTTATAAATCCAGGTTAACCCGATTGTTTAGGATTAGAAAGTGATTTGGTTTCCAACGGTGAAGGAGCTCAAGAAACAAAGAGTTTTATTTTTCCTTCTTATGAGATACTGTTCCAAATAGAACACAGTTTGTCTAGATGATTTTTGTCACATAAAATTAGGCTCCAGGAAAGATTCCAAATTTCATGAGCAATTAATTGGGCTCATAAAACAAGATCAAACTCCAGTAGTGTATATTCAAAGTATGTATAATGTGTATTCAATGTATGTTCTTCCACCACTGCATGGTGTAGACAGAATTTTTCTTCCAAGGGGTACTACATGACAAAACCGTACATAATAATGAAATGCATTTGTAGACAAAGGACTAGCTAAAATACCAGCTGAAAGTGGGAAGACCAGAAACTGAAGTGTGAGATGAGGTAAGCCCTGGAGTAAGAGTCAGGAAATCCACTTCCTATCTGTAATCTGTCTCGGTTTAATGTTGGTCAAGTTATTTTTTTAAAAATTCTGGGTCTTGGTTTCCTTATGATGACTTTAGATCTCTGTTCCTTGGAATTCTAGAGTGATCCAAAGGTTTCTTTGAATTCAGTTTTGTGGGTTGAGACGAGCAGCCAGACTGTGAGTCCCTCAGCTCTGCTTCAACCAGAACAGCTCCACTTTACTGTTCAGCATGTTAGCCCTGTATGTAAGGATGTGTTTTAGCTTTAGCTAAAATTTAGTGACTCTATGACCCTAAGGCGCTGCTTCCCTGAGATTTTGAAAGCTGAAGCACATTCAGAAAACTTTTTCTTTCTTAAAAATCACTTGAAATCTGACAAGTTCTGTCTGCTCCAGCCCTTGGTCCCTTAGATGTGCTTTTCTGAAGATCCAAACTCAACCTGCCAGTCAATACCAACTGAGCAGAGCCCCTGTTCTCCACCGGATTTCAAGAGAACATGTTCCATTCCTGCTCAGAGCTTCAGAGCAGTTACCCCTAAGATTGCACATTAATGCAACAGCTTCCTATTTCCTTCCTTCCTTCCTTCCTTCCTTCCTTTCTTTTCTTTCTTTTTCTTCCCAGAGTCTCGCTCTGTCACCCAGGCTGGAGTTGAGTGGCATGGTCTCGGCTCACTGCCAACTCTGCCTCCCAGGTTCCCGCCATTCTCCTGCCTCAGCCTCCTGAGTAGCTGGGACTACAGGCACCTGCCACCAGGCCCAGCTAATTTTTTGTATTTTTAGTAGAGACAGGGTTTCACTGTGTTAGCCAAGATGATCTCAATCTCCTGACCTCGTGATCTACCCGCCTTGGCCTCCCAAAGTGCTGTGATTACAGGCATGAGCCACCACGCCTGGCCAAGCTTCCTACTTTCTTATAAGGCTAAAGTTGCAGTAGAAATATTCCCCTACTCTTCCTTTCCATATCATAAGTATCCATCTTCCTTCCCCTGCTTTAACTTCTCATGATTGCAGTTTTTGTTTTATTACCACAAAGGATATCAATCATTCATCTAATGTTATAGCAATGAAGGGATTTAAGGTGAAAGGTAGAGAACATATGTTGAGAACTATTTCCAGAAACTCTAGGTGAAGAAAAAGAAGGGAATTAGCATTTATTCAACACCTACAATGTGCCAGGTACAGTGCTAAGTGCTTTTATATACATGAGTTAATACAAACCTCAAAATAATGCTCTAAGGAAAACATTTTAAATAATGCTGAAGTTAAATATCATGATTCCTTTTATATAAGGAAGAAGACAGATTTAGAGAAGTTAAATAAAATTTCCAAAAATGCAGCAATAGCAAGGTGGAGGTATTTGTCTCTAAAATTTCACCCTCTGTTCTGTACACCAAGTACCTCAGCAAGTAATCCAGTTCCAGATGGGATCCGTAGTCTGCCATTAAGTCTTTAACACACATAGGCTCTTATGCTAGAGCCCTTACCATATGGTCCAAAATGCCATTTTTAATGTGTATTTGATATGGGAGACTCTGTTCACAATTTGAGTACTAAAGAGAGAATACCACCTCCTAGTAGATACACCAGGACTTATGTGATGCCATCATTCTAAGGAGAGCAGTGGAACATCTCCAAAGAACCCATCTGTAGTCTTCCTTAGGCCCTTGATCTTATTCCTATTTTATTTTTTAGGGTGTTTTTTTTTTTTCTTTGAGACTAAATCTCACTCTATCACCCAAGCTGGAGTGCAGTGGCATGATATCAGCTCATTGCAAACTCCGCCTCCCAGACTCAAGTGATTCTCCTCCCCCAGCCTCCCAAGTAGCTGGGACTATAGGTGCACACCCCAGCTAGTGTGTGCGTGTATGTGCGCGCGTGTGTGCGTGCGTGTGTGTGTGTGTGTGTGTGTGTTAGTAGAGACAGGGTTTCACTATGTTGCCCAGGGTTGTCTTGAACTCCAGAGCTCAGGTAATCCAGCTGCCAAGGCCTCCCAAAGTGCTGGGATTACAGGCATGAGCCACCACGCCTGGCCAATTTTTTAGGGATAATTTAGGAACAGTATACAGATATTGGGCCGAGAATCAAAAGAGCTAGGTTGCAATTCTGGTTGTGCCATTTACCAGTTGTGTGAGGTTGGACAAATCTCTTTCTCTCCCTAGCTTTCTCTTTCCTCATTTATAAAATAAAGAAATGAGAATGACAGTTGTATTAATTTCTGAGGACTGCCAGAACAAACTACTACAAACTGGGTGGCTTAAAACAACAGACATTTATTCTCACATAGTTCAGGAGGCTACCAGTTTGAAATCAAGTTCTTGACAAACTCCCCTAGAGTCTAAAGTCTCTAGGGAAGGATTCCTCCTTGCATCTTCCAGCTTTTGGTAGCTCCAGTGTTCTTTGGCTTGTGGCAGCATCACTCCAATCTCAGCCTCCAGTTTGTCGTAATGTATTATGACAGTCTTAGGAAAATAATACATAGGTCTTTGGAAATGTTTCTTCATTTGCCACAATATGATATCAAATAAAATACAAAAGTTCAGATATGGATAGACCTATTGATCTGGGATGCTAGTGAATGTAAAGGCTTAGGTCAACTTCTCTCTGCAATTCCAAGGAGGATGAGAAGTAGCAGCCTTGACCTCCCACTAGCGGGAGTTTCCCTCCTTCATCTCTGGTCATTGGCCACACAAGGACCTGACATCTCCCAGTAAATGTGCTCCTCTACAACCTGAGCCACAAATCTCTCTCTCTTTTCTCTCTATCCTCTTTCTACCTCCATATTTGGTTGGCTATTTTTAGTTCTTCTGCAGACAGTTACACTTTAAATGGCACACAGTCTCTAATTACTTACATGTTGACTTGAAACAATGTCTGCTGCTCACCTTCTTGGAAATATCCTTCTCCTTCTCCTATCCTTCTCTCTGTCTACTTAATCTGTTTATCATATTCTCATTTTTACATCATCAAAGTTTATAATGCTCCCGGAACATACCTCCTTCAAAGTAAATGAGAAGGGTATCCTCTGGCCTCTCCTTGCCCATGAGAACAACCCTGTCTCCTGCTCTGCATGGGTTCCCAATTTGGCCCTAAGACTTCTCTGTTTGTGTGATCAGCAAGAGGACGTCAAATACTTTCCATCCTCCAATGAGTGGAACACATTCTGTGGTCAGAAGCTTTCTCATTACTTCCGATCTCAAAGGGACATCCAGAGTTGCCCAAACCCAGGCCAACCACCCTCCCATTTAGCCACAGCCTGAAGACCCCCACTGTGATCAACAAAATAAGACTGACTCCAGATCCCACTCTGCTAACTGCCTACCTAATACCCAGACTCTTGTAGCTGAGAGAGTCTCTTCTAAAATCCAGCGCAAAAGGCACACTAGATTTGAGGATCGGAATAGCTTGTATTTTGTAGTCTATTATAGCCAGCATAATAAACTTTTTGTTTGTTTGTTTGAGACAGAGTCTCACTCTGTCGCCCAGGCTGTAGTACAGTGGCACGATCTCAGCTCACTGCAACCTCTGCCTCCCAGGTTTAAGCGATTCTACTGCCTCAGCCTCCTGAGTAGCTGGGATTAAAGGTGCATGCCACCACGCCCAGCTAATTTTTGTATTTTTAGTTGAGACGGGGTTTCCCCATGTTGAACAGGCTGGTCTCCAACTCCTGATCTCAGGCGATCCACCCACCTTGGCCTCCCAACGTGCTGGGATTACAGGTGTGAGCCACTGTGCCCAGCTGATAAATTTTTAAATTTACTTTTTCTATTCCATATCATAGATTCTGGGGGGAAACAAGGGCCAATTTGAATAAAAGCAACTGCATTTAGCTGGCTTGAACTTCTTCAGAGAAAGAACAACATAAAATATTCAACTCGTCTGATTTTTTTAATGACATTTCCTTTTTATTTATATTCAATTACAAAGTAATACATGAACGGATTCTCCCTTTTTTAAACCATCCCTTATTCTACAGATCAAGTGAAAGTACTTGTTGCCGGCCTGTACTTCCCATCCCCACTTTTGTGCCCAGGACAAAGTACTACCAGGATACTAGTGTTCAGAGTGAGCAGATTCCTGGTACTGACATAAGGAAGATCACCACCTAATTTTTAAATTTAAAAAAATGAACAAAAAGTCCATTAGAGGAATGAAATTAACCTACTTTATAGGTATGTAATATTTCTCTTTCCAGAGAGAAAGGAGGAGAGCAGAGATAAGATAGGAACATGAGAGCTACTATAATGAGAGAAGAGAGAAACTGTCAGAAATGGCAGGGCA